AAATAATTAAATTTATTACCAAAAAGTGTGAAAACCAAAAATTTTAATTTTGATAGAATTTGTTTTTCATAAATTGATTAAAACTACTTGAAATCAAACAATTACCAAACAAACATTAAAAAAAAAAACCAAAAATAAAATCACAACTACATTGTAAAATGTAAGACAGATGAATTAACATGATATCAAACAATAGTTTTAGCATGAAACTTGTAAAATACGAGTAAAAGTGTACTTTTTTCTTTCCAATTAAATTAATATATAAATTTACTTACCTAATTTAATTTAAACAAAAATTTACTAAATATAAAAGCTTAAAAATTACTACAAAATAATACCACATGTATTTTATAATGAACAAATAAATATACAAAAAATTTTAACCTTTTTCACTAATTCATCCATATCAAGGAATATGTCATTAATAGTTTTTAGGAAGAAATAGATAATAAAGAAGAGATTACAATGAAAATTATACTCTTAACTTTAAGATTAAAAAATGCTTAAAAATGAAAATAAAAAGACTAAAATGTTAAAGAAATTAAAACATAAATTGTATAAGAAGCCAAAAAAAAACAAATTGCAACCATTCATCTTTTCATTTTTTTATTCATTAAGATGAACAAATTGTTATCAGTCTCATTAGGAAGATATCTTTCTACAAAACCTAAAACATAATTATTTAAATTAAAACCCTAAAAATCACTATAAAAATTTTAAAATTCAAAAAATAAAAAAATAAAACATGAATTCTATAAGGACCTAATAAATAAATTAAAATATTTAATCTTTTTCACCTTTCATCCATAGAAAAGTAAAACCCTGAAAATCACTCTAAAAAAATCTTTAAAACAAAAAGATAAAATATGAATTTTATAAAAAAACTATAAAATAAATTAAAAAAATTTAAACTTTCTCACCTTTAGGGTTTTCTTTATAAAAGATCCACTTTTAGGATTTTCATAAATGATCCATTTTTAAGATTTCTTTAAAAAATTTTCATCCATAGAAATGATTAGATTTTATATTAAAAACTTATACTTTTAACTTTTATATTAAAAAAAATAAAACAAGAAGTATTTAATTTGTAAATGGATTTGTTGTAAGAAAAATACAATTAAACTCAAATACTTATCACCAGGTTAAGAAAAAAAAAACAACAAAAAAACCATGGATTCAAATATCATAATATTTTTAAACAAATAAAATCATAACTATAATGAAAAAAATTGAGAATTAACAACATAGTTAGAATGTCATAAAAATTATAACTATTAGTTATAAAAGAAATAATTATAACAATTTGAAATTCATTTCGTAATTTTTTATGCATTGGCTAATATCAAAAACTCTTATAAATTAAAGAAGTAAGTATAACAATTTGAGATTCGATTTTCAAAGCTAATAGCTTCTCTTCAAATTTAAAAACAAACTTATCCACAAACTAACACTTGTAAAACTTTTGCTAAACAAAAAATAATAATAATGATATTTAATTTCAATAACAATATAAAAGTTAAAAATTTTTAAATAAATCATCCTTATTATAATATTGTCAATATAAACATTATTAAAACAAAAAAGAATACCTTAAATCTTGAAGGCATAATAGCAAATAATTTACAAACTTATCATCAATAATTTAAAAATAAGACAAATCCATGTGAAAGCAACACCAATAATATCTAACAAAAAATTTAAAATAAAAAATTATTTTAAAGAAAAGCACAAAAACTCAAAATCCATAAGCACTTAGTTGAATGATCATCAAAACAATTATAACCTACAAAGTAAAAAATATGTCATTGATTATTTACTCTTCCATTGAACATCTTTTTGATAATAGCAAAATGAATCATACTATGATCATTCACAACAATTACCCGATAATTATCTTTATTTGTACACATAAATCTTATTCTTTAATCAATTTGCTTTATGATTTTAAAGAATAGTATAAATATAAAATCCTTATGAAATACCAAAAATTAATAAAATAAACTAAAAAAATGCAAATAGAAACAAAATTATAACAAAAATAAATTTATTTATGTACTTTTCATCAATCAACACTATTTATGTGTTAACACGTTATTCAATCTTATAATTATAAATATCCTACAATCGACACACACAAAATTTGATCTTCCAATCATATATTTCAAAAATCAATCTAATGGCTACAAGGCAAACTTGAAATGAAAACTTATGATTATGACAAAAAGCAAAAAATAATAACAGTACAAACACTAGAAAATACACCCATTGGCTAAAAAACAAACTTGAAACACTAAATAAAAAATCAATAAATTATGATTATAAATAAAAATTTATAAAAATACGAACATAATAAAACAAAAACAAATCTAATGATTGGAAAAAAATGTAATACAAACATGAAATAAGTTATATAACCCTCTTATCAAAAAAAGATGAAAGATCACAAGCCATAAAAAAATCAAAAGTCAAAACATAAATGTTAGAAAATAAAAATTTTTAACAAATAACGGTTTTAAAAAAATAAATAAAAAAATCAAAAATAAAAAATCCATAAAAATAGTAGGCAACCAAAAGTCTATTAGATTTTATGCAATAAAATTATGAGATATATGTTCAGAATTTATGTAAAAAGACTTAGCATTTATTGTAAAATATTTGAGTAAAATCAGATATTAAATACAATATAATTAAGATTCAAGGACCAAAACGTTACAATTTTTGAAACAATGAGAAATTATTTACCTCCACCAATTTGAACGGGTAATGGCATTGGCTTCATTGTTTCATTGGCCAGTGCCTAATTGTCAATTTCATATTCATTATCATATATGATATGATAAAATATTATTAATATACTAATATTTACCCAACCTATTAGGCAATTAGCCAATTACCCAAGTATAAAATATACTTATTACTATCATCTAAAAGAATAATGATTCAAAATCATGTATTAAAAATTAATAATAAAAATAGATTTAACCAATTAAGTTATTATAAGATATTTTCTTTATAGACCGAGATTTAATTTTTTAAGTTATAGTTCAATAGTTTTATGGACATGACATATTTGGGGTTTTACTTAGTTGTAGAAACTTGTAATTTGTATAAATTAAACCAATTAAATATTTTTGCATTTGAATTTTTTTCATTTTAGATTTATTAGATAATAATTTCATTTTACTAATAGATATCATAGCATATTGGTATGGCCCTTTTGTAATTTGAGAGATTAAAATCTCACTCTTAGTAATCTCTTTTAATGGATTGAATGATCTGTAAATTCTATATAAATTTTCATTGAAACACGCTATTTGTCTTGATCTTGAAATTAGAAACCTCCATCACCCTAAATTTTTATATAAAAACTCTTTAACCATCCATTTATTGAACAATCTCAGGCATAAAAGAACGTATCAACACACAACAATTAAAGCATGAAATCATATCAAAATACTATTCCACAAACCACGAGTAAAAATATCAGACAAAATGCATTATCTTGAATTGGAACTCATTATAATATTCAGAATGAAAGAAAAAAAAAACTCAAATTAAAATTTGTCTTAATTTAGTTTTCTTGTCCAATCTTTCTCTAAAACCAAACAAAAATGAAGAGAAATTAAAAAAAATAAGATAAATATTTATAGTTGAAAAAAAGTTCAAGCGAGATAAAACTAGAAAATATATTTTTAAAATTACATTTTGTGATATTTACTTTTAAAGGTCTTTCAAATTTTTAATTTTGCTCCATGTAACATTTTGTGGTATGATAGTTTAAATAGGAATAGCAATAGATTATTATTAATGTTTTCGCATTCGAATCTGTTTAATTTTTATGATATTTAAATTCGTTTAAGTATCTATTTAAATTTAGTATTTTTATTTGAATTCGTATCCAATTAAATAAGCACAACTCGTTAAATATTCAAATTTAACATTTACTTAAATTTTATTGTCAAAATATAAAACAAATAAGAATTAAATTTAAAATTTAAATTTACTTTTAATTAATAACAAATAAAGGTGTGTGCTAAAGTTCGAATCCTTTTACAAATATAAAATTACATATGTGAACAGATAATAAATTTTGATATCTGATACTATCCATTAAAAAACTTAAATGAATTCGAATATCGAATAAGTATAAGGTATTATCCGAAATCCATTTGAATCCGTCACAAATAATAAATTTATTATTTAAATATGTTGGTTAACAGTTTACAAGTATCTAATCCGACAAAATCAAACACAATAATACCAAATAGCTATTTATTTAACAGTTTACAAGTATCTAATCCGACAAAATCAAACACAATAATACCAAATATCTATTTATTTATCATCCATCGCCATCCATAAGTGTATAGCATCTAGTGAAATTTTGGAGTTGAGATAATCAACCAATCACCAACGGCCAGTACAAGGAAATAGAGTTTTAGCAATGAAATTTACCGAAACTAAAAGTTGATTACCGTCGCTAAAATGTATTAGTGACCCACTTTTCGTTGCTATTATACTGTCAAAATTGTAGTTAAAAGTATTCTGTCATTAAAGAAATTTTCATCTAAATAAGACACTTTAGCAACAAAAACTTTCCGCCACAACAAAAAATTAAAATTTGTATGAAAATACTTTTAACAACAAAAATTACATTGATAATTCATAAATTTCGGCGCTAAAAGTGTTTTCATATAAAAATTAATTATCACTAAAGACCTTAGTGACAAAAAATTCAACCATTAAAAGTTGGTGCGATGAAAAATTTCATCACGAATACATTATTTTTTGTGGTAAAACTTTTACTATGAATTTGCAGACCATAAGGAATAGATCCCTTACTACAAGAGATAGATCCCTTATGGCTTTTTAGTCAAAAAGAGCATTTTATATGAAAATACTTGCATTTAAAATATATTAAAAATATATCAAACTATAATACATAAAAATTTTCATTTCATTGACTAAAGAATAATCTTTACAAAATTATTACAAACTTTATACAAATATTCAAAAGAATAATCTTTACACACTTTATACTAATCTAAAATATCCATAATTTACATTCAATCTCTCAATGACATCCAACTCTGAAGTTCAAAAGCAAGTTTCATCTGATCATATGTACCTATTAGCAAAAACTTGGAACATCACAATCAATGGACAATGCAGGTGAATGACAATTTAAAAGAATAAGATACTCTTACAAGCTCATATTTAAAGAGTTTGTCTATTTGATGAAATGATGTATGTACTGTCGGTTGCACACAACATAACTAGCCTTAGGCAGCATGCCAAGCGAGGTATGCTATAAGCCTATAACTCTATATCAGACTTCCACAAACAATATGGAACAATGACCATAAATAAATTCTTTAATTTTAAGGTTTAATATGCAATGACCATAAATAAATTATTTCCCTACAAAAATTTTCTGAAAAAAAAATCAACACAAAATTCAATTCCATAACTCTAGCAAGATTGACATGAAAAAAAAGAAACATACAGCTATAGCCTCCCATGCTAGCGCTCTAGAATCAGCAGCAACCATGATGCCTTCCTTAAAGATGAAAGCAAGCGTGGTGGTACCCTTAGCAGGTTTCACCATCTGAATAGCTTCTTTCTGGACCCATCAAACTGCATAACACCAACCAGACATAAAATAAGCCCTACAGCTTCTCCTTTACTATCAGAAAAAAAGAAAAATACTATACTACGAATTGGCAGAAAATTTTAACTTACATCAGTAGTATTTGGAAGCTCAAATGACGACACAGCCAAAAAGCCATCAACAAGCTCACTTGGAGCTCCCCTGACAGGTGCAGTTGATTCTAGACTGCTAGTGCCAAGCTTCACGTTTGGTTTTTTTTAAAAAAAATACAGAATAGTGAGATTGAATTAAGATTTTTTTTTTTTTGCAAAAAGATGATAAGCCATAGGTAATAAACCTGTCAAATATGAATACCAAAAAAATAAATAAATGAGGTTGAGAAAAGAACCTTTTCAATCAGATTGGAGATGATTGGTGAAGAGAAAAAAGCAAAGTTGAGTGAGATGCAGCAGCAGAAATATAGGTATGACAAACACACACCTCTGTGTTTTTTAAGGAACAAAGGACCCAAGAGCTTGAAAAAGCAGAAAATCTCCTGCTAACAATGCTAACTACATCATATAGATAAATATAGACATGAATGAATGGTAACAATGATAATAATAGGAGACATCAAACAGATCTCATCCAAACCTTATATTTTGATTAACCTAATATGTCTTCATTTTGTTCTCAATTTAAAAGGTTTATTAGAATTGGGGTCAATACCTGATCCCTCATTTTACATCTTATTTGAAAAACACAATAAGTTGGTTGGTACATTCTAACTTGAATTCTGCAAGAACTCAAATGAGGCAGTCTCATTCACAGTCCTTTAAATTGGGTGTTTGACATTACCTCTAAAAGCATCAAATGCTAAGCTTAAACCAAATTCACCAATTTGGCACTTCCACAAAACAGCAAAAGAAGCATCAAATTCCAACCTTTTATATTTATCGTCTCAAAAATGCCATAGAGCTATAAGGCTAGAGAGAGAAAGTACATAAGAGATAATGAGTAAGAAAGAAAGACAAAGATTGAAACAGGTGACATGTATGTATTTTTTTTAATACCAAAAAAACCCATGTATTCTATATTTGCATATATGACAATAAGAATCAGAAAAAGTCTACATTGGAAGTCTACATTGAAACAGATAAAGAACTTAAGGCATCCATGCCAAGGAATAGAAAAGTGAGAACATTCCTAAGGTTCCAAGTTTCAAAATATCCAAAATTACCATACTTCTAACTGAAAAACCCAATTGACATAATTCAAAAACCATAACATTTTACATTATAAAGATTCATTTATAATTCAGACTTCCATAATACAATTAAATTATTTTATATAATAAATTTGCAAGTCAGAATTAGTCCCCAAGAGGACACCCCAGTGGTTAGAAATTGAGATTCCAAAGTGCATAATTGTAATCTGTCATATTATCACAATGGAACACTTTAACAATAATAGAAAAAGCAATTCCATGAACAATAGAAAAATCCATGCCTTAAGAACTAATATACATTAAAAAAAATTAAATCTACACACCTGAGGTTGCTAGAAACTGCCATATATACACCATAGAAAACACTGGTAGATAATATGGGAACATTTGCAACTTCAGCTGCAGAAGACTTATCAACAGCCTTTCTTGCATTAATCAAGACATTTGTAACAGCTGTGCAACCTACAAGAAACCAACTTCCATTAAATTCCAGTAATCAGTTTTTGGTTTTCGGTTTGATAAATCAATTAGCAAAAGGCAATGATATTCTTCATAGATATGGAAAAGATGATAAGATTTGACACAAATTGAAAAGGGAAAATAAGCTTTATTACTGTATATGGTAGATTGCAGACAATCTTCTGAACCAACCACTTGACGGAATAAACAAATATTGAGAAAAAAGAGTAACAGATGGATATTCAATGATCTTAAATTTTAAAAGTTCACAAAACACGAAAGATCTCCTTACCATTATTGTACCCAATCTCTGCAAAAGTGAATACGAAATCTCAAGGTGAGCATCCTGCAGACAGAATTTCATGACCATAAAATATTTGTACTTTAGAATCTTAGAAAATAACTTTGCAAAATCCAATGCAACCGAAGATAAAAATAGAAACTTGAAAAGCATTATCAGGGTAGCTATAGAAGACCTTGGGAGTAGCTCCGGCACCGACTGCAAGTGGAGACCGCAGAGAGACCGTAAGAGCAGGGAGATAAACAAGTCATGTTTACAAACAGGTGTAATACTTTAAATATAAAATTTTGCAATTGTAACACATTTCAAATTAAAAAAAAAAATAACTAAACAGAAAAAACACCAAAATCCAAAACGCCACCCTCAAATCTGTGAAAGGGGGCCACGAAAAGAGCAAGAGGGCGCGATGGAAAGGAGGCCGGCCAGGGAAAGGAGAGGAAACGGGGAGAGAAAAGGAAGCGAAAGGGCCGCCGCATCTGGGTTGAATGGACGGGATCTGGTGCGGGCTTCGGTCGGACGGACCTCGCCGGAGCCTGGACAGAGGCTGGAGCGTTGGGGTTGGCTCGGGAGGGAGAAGGAAATGAGGGAGGAGATGAGAAAGTAAAGAAATATGCAATTTAAACCCCTTTAATTAGATGATTTTTTATGCAATTTAAACCCAATTTTGATTAACGATGTAAGTTTTCTGTCGGCAAAATCCATTGCTAAATAAAAATTCCTTCTAATTTAAGTGTCAACGACAAAAAATAGCGACGATAATTTTCAACGCCGGTGACTAAATTTAATTAGGAACGGAATATTTGTTGTTGAATCCGTTGAAACAAAGAGAAGCTAAAATTGGAATCAGTTTATGATTTTTGACCGGAAATTAGCGACGTTTTAGTGACAGAAAATCTTTTCGTTGATAATTTTTGTCTTTATCCATGGAATTTCAACAATAAAATTAGAAATTCAATTTGCGGAAATCATAGGTAAATCCGTGCCAATCTGCCAATATTAATGACTTTTAGCAATAAAAATTTTCCTTCGGTAATTTTTTAGTTACGTCACTAAAAGCCTTTTTTTTTTTTTATAATGGAGCCAAAATTTCGGTGTAATACTGACAACTAAAAGTATAAATGAGTCAAATTAGTGACGTAGCTAGAAACTAACTTTGTGGGGTCATATTCAGAAACTAATTCATATTTTGTGGACACAATTTTTTTTTTACATTGTATTATTAAAAATTTTGAATTAAATTCAATTTTTTAATAATAAAAAAGCATATTTCAGTTAAAAGTGACTATAATATAATATTATCTTATGTAATAAGCTTATCAGATAATTAATTTTAAATTTATAAATTGAATTGAGTATTGATTGATTTTTTTTTGTTATTTATTAAAATAAGCATTTTGGAAATTACACATCCAACTAAAAGAGTTTTAACAAATTATTGATTATAATAAAATAAAAGCTTATAATCTTAATTTTATGTACTAAAAGATCAAGAATATATTTTTATTTTTTGAGTAAAGTTTGAAAACTTATTTGAATATTTTTCATAATACTTAATACATGGTTATATTTTTACAAAATTCAAATATTTTTATATTGTTTGAAATCTAAATATTAATATTTTCTTTATAAAAAAAAACAACAAATTTTAGTTTCTTACCCTCACTTTATATTTATATTAAATTTGAGTAGGGTCATTACATTAAAATTACACTAATCTTATTATTTTATATATATAACTTAAACTTTTTATATTTGAGTGAAGTCAATTGATCTCGAAAATTGTGTCTCGCTATACTTGAAGTCGAATTACTTATTAACTATTTGGATTTGGCATGGTGAAAAATTGAGTATGATTTGTTTATTGTTGAGTTTCGCTCAAATTTGATTAATAAGTCGATACAAATTCGAGTATTATTATATTAATTTGATATATTTATAAATTAATTAAATTTTTATTTCTTAAAATATATTTAATATATATGAATAGATAATAAAAATATAATATTTAATATCAATATTTAAAATTTTATTGAAAATAATTGAACCCCTTAAATTAAGCGTAAGTGGCCCAAATAAATTACAATTCAAATTTGAGCATGAAATATGAGTATAAACCAAGCTCAAATCAACTTCAACTCTCAAAGTTCTTAAATCAATAATAGTAAACCACTCGAATCTAATAATGAATCCACTTAAACTCTATTTGATTATATCTGATGACACATTAATTATAAATCTAATAAAAATTTAGATTTCTTTTTATATCTAGAACATTAAATATCCTTTTATATAATCAAATACTAACCGTACATTTATATTCTCCCGTATACAAAAGGATTTTTTGGAGTTTAGAGTTAGTGATTTAAATTTTTTTATTTAACGGTAAGAAATTTTAGGAATTTTCTAATATATTCTCTTTTTTAATCAATTTAAACAGCATCTACCTCCGGTCCAGCGAATGATTTAACCTCTTTGTAACATATATATATATATATATATATATATATGTACACTTTGCACCACTACAAAGCCCTTGACCTCTGTTTACTCCAATTGGCGTTCCTTTCTTTCTCCTAAAGAAAGAAGCAAATAAAAGCCTTCGATTTCTAGCAAAATCCAACTGAGAAAACAATGTTGAATTCTTGAGTGGAAGTTGGAGTCTCCAATGGAGTGGATTCGAGGGGATACGATTGGATGTGGAAGTTTTGGCACCGTCAACTTGGTGATACCTAAACATGGTTTTCCAAAATCTCAGGTAATGGCTGTCAAGTCCAGTGAAACCATCGACTCAGTTTCTCTCAAGAACGAGAAGGAAGTGCTTGATCAACTTGGTTTTTGCCTGCAAATCATCCGTTGTTTTGGCGATGATTATACTGTTGAGAATGCTGAGAAGTTGTATAATTTGTTCTTGGAGTACGCTAATAAAGGAAACTTGGCTGATCAGGTTAAGAAAAGCGGTGGAAAGATGATAGAATCCGACGTTAGAAGATACACAAGATCGATACTCAAAGGGCTACGCTTTCTTCATGGCAAAGGGTTTGCTCATTGTGATATTAAACTTCAAAATATTCTTTTGTTTGGCAATGGGGATGTCAAGATAGCTGATTTTGGATTGGCAAAGAAAAACGGCGAAGAAGACGAAAACCAGAGGAGAATAGAAATCAGGGGAACTCCACTCAATATCGCACCAGAGTCGGTTAATGAAAACGAGTATGATTCACCTGTCGATATCTGGGCACTTGATGTGCTATTGTCGAGATGTTTACAGGCAAACCAGCCTGGAATTTCAAACCAGGAACAAACATGGCGGTTTTGTTGATTAAGATTCGTGTTAGTGATGAATTGCCTGCAATACCTGCAAAGTTATCTGAAGAAGGAAAAGATTTTCTTGGGAAGTGCTTTGTTAAGGATCCAAAGAACAGATGGACTGCTGAGATGCTCCTGGATCATCCTTTTATGGCTGGTGATGATAAGAGTATTGCAATGAATCGACATGAAGAAGAAGCATCAACATCTCCAAAATGTTCTTTTCAAGAATTTTCAGTTTCACCAAGATGTCCTTTCGATTTTCCGGTAGGGAAGGATTTACAATGGCAACAACGGGGGCAAATGGCCCACTGAAATCCTAAATCCTAAATTTTTTTTAATAATATTAATGTAATTACTATTGCAAGTATAATAAAATTTTAATTTTGAATTAGTATTCCAGCTGCCAAAGAATGGATTGCTGTAAAACCTCATGAACCATGTCCTGTTACTGAAGCCTTAGGATTAGCCATCACTTCAGGACCTTGTTTTAAGTTGGTAAGCATCTATCCTTTCCCAAATGATAAACCAAGCACATATTCCCAGAGAATTTACTCTTCTGAAACAAATAGTTATAAAAACATCCATGGAACACTGCGAATTTGACTAAAAATTTACCCGAATTGGATGGTTTCCGTTGCTGGTAGGTTTCTTTGGCTGACATATAACCACCATGTTATAACTTTTTGATTTGGAGACAATTATCTCAAAGTCCTTGAATTACCAGGTCTGAAACCCTTTGATTGTAGTGTTTTGATTTGGGGAGTCAGAATGTTGTTTCCATTACATAGGTTCTTATCATGAAAGACAATGATGAACCTAAATGGACACTCAAATATTGTTTTCCTGTTGTTGAATTCTGTGGAGAGCATTCAAGCCGGTTTAATCCGGAAGCTATGCTACTCATGGCAAGGCTGCCTCATGCCAAGTCTTATCTCCATCATTTACTAGTCCCACTAGCTTTCCATGATAAGGTTTTGGTTTTGGTTTTATATTACAAAATCTTTTCTTACAACTTTAAAATAATAACATTATTGAAGTGCCAAGGTTGATTGAATTGGTAAGGTCTAAATATTTCGTTCTTGTTCGAATCTTGTCACTAACAGTTTTTTTAATTGGCTATTTTTAAATCCATTGTAAATTATTTACGAGACCTATAATTTATTCTAGCCTTGAAATAAAGAAGCTTCTCCTATCCTAGACTTTTATTTAACCCCAAAAGAAAAACACTAACTGAAGCATTTTGGCTCTAAGGAGGTTCATGATAGATTTACTTGTCATTTTTTTGGGCTCCCATATTTTCCTAGCTTGCTATCGCCATTAAGCTTTAATGTTCGTACTGGAAAATTGTCAGATGGAGGCAAAGCTTCTTGCGAGCAAGCAACTTTGGACATTGTTCAGGGAATTGGCATCGAACAGAATGAACAAACTAGAAATTAATCCCGCCTGCTTATTGTTTTCAGCCATGTTTTCATTTTTTTTTTTTATTCCTTCTTACAGAGCAGAAAATAGACTGAGAGATCATAGAAGGGTGATGATTTCTAGATATGGTGGGGTTCTACATCCGCGGGTTCATCGATTGCTACTGATAGAGGTCTTTTGTATTGTGTTTATTGATGAGAATCGAATTTGAACAAAAATGCATTTGACATTTATTCTGATTTACAATCAAGGCTCCTTTCAGGCAGAATTTATGACAAGACAATCATAAAAACCATCTCCACAGGAGTAAGGGCTTAACTCAAGATACGCATTCCATTCCTTGGGAATCAAAATATTTTAGTCACAGAATCAACAACAGCAATTACAGCCGGTTAAGTTATTATTGAATTGACCAGAGCAAAATAATCAAATATAACCAAGAACTCTTCAGTAATAAATATACAAATAAATAAAATACAAATTTTGTACTAATTTCCAGAAAATAAGATAACTTTTGATGTCTAAAATTGTTCCTCCAATTTAAACAAGCTAGCAGATTCAAAATCCTCATCTCCGTTGATGCATTTTAAGCAATCAGAGGAGAGTCAGACTCTGATTTTTACTTCAAAAGGCAGGCAAATAATAGCATCACCTGACTCTGAAATCAATGAGGACCATCCGTTAATATGTGCAGCCATTTCCAAAATAATGGAGGCAGCCTGAAATTTTGAATGGCAGTTTGATTGGGAGGAACTCAAACCAGCGAGGCAACTGTAAAATATGATGCCCCTGGCTTTGGATGGTTAAACATGATGGATCAAACACAGCTTCTCAAACTACACTTTCCTCAACATAGGAGACTCTTTGTGAAGATAATAGGAATCAAAAAAGTTATTTACATCATTCCTTTTTTTTTATTTTTTATTTCATCACATTTCACTTCACTGGTCGCATACCAACAGTTCTTACCCGGAACCGGTATTGAGGCTGAGACTCCTCATCGTCATCATCATCATCATCTTCACTAGAGTCATCTTCAACTCTGTCCCACCTTGCATAGTCCAGAGCTGAGTGTCCCTTTGGTTTAGGGATCGCCTGCCATCCCTTGGAATCTTGATCCCCTGTTCTAGAGAAGCAGCAACTCCAATTCTTTGAGGCGCATTGTTCTGATCTGAATGTCCCTTGGGTTTAGGGATTGCCTGACATCCTTTGAAATCCTCATCATTCTGTTCTTGAGGAGCAGCAACTCCAGGATTTCTTTCAGGCACATTCTTATAATCTGTTTCCTGCTCAGGGGATTCATTGACATCAGGTTTTCCAGGGGCAATCATTTCTTCTTTTACCAGATCCTCATTAAGGTTAACATTAAGATCTTTCTGAACAGCTGGCACCACTATGTCTTCCCTTCTGTCATCTTGTTCCTCTTCTTTCTTCACTGTACTGGGTTGCCCGTGCTCTTCTTCCTCTTCTTCTAACTCTGCTTCAGATTCAGGTATTGGAGCAAGTGCCTTTCCTTAAGCAAAGAAAACAAAATTCAGTTACTAACATCTGAAAGATCAAATACAAGTCAGCTTAAGACATAACTATTGGAACCATTGTGGTAATAGCTTCCCCAATGACAATGAATGAGTAATTGATTTTGTAAGAGCCAAGAGCAGACCAAGTACTGCTTTAACAAGTAGGACACCGTATAGAATAGTAGAGAAAGATCTAGAGCCAAATAGAGATAAGAGGATATACCACTTGCGTCCTCAAACGAGCTTGAAGGTTGTGATAAACTTCTGAAGAGGGATTCAACTCTATGAGTTGGTTGACATCAAAGAGGGCTGAATTGTACTCCTTTAGCGTGACTAGTGTTTGTGCTCGCAACATCAAAGCTCCAGTGTGATTGTGGTCAAGCTCAAGAACTGAGGTACATTCCTCTGCTGCCTACATTTGAATTAACATTAGTTCACAGACAACAGTTTCGATCCATTAAAGTAAAATGGATAATCCGTATGTCGCATTCCATGAATAACAAAAACACACTAACATGCCACACATATCAAAGAAAAATGTAGAAGCAAAAAGAATTTGTTCATAAGTTTTTCCACATGATCCTTCTAAGATATGCTTGTAAACTAAGGATAATGGCAAAAATTTAATCCCCAGCACCAATCTCACCTAGTGGGAAATTCATAACTGTTGCTATTGCTGTTCCAGAACATTTTTTGGAATATCCAAAAATTTTTAAAGTTTCTTAAGAATGAGTGTGTGTGAGTGTGCAGGCACATGCATAGATGCATAAACACGACTCAGTGTAGGTGAGCAAGTTATGTGTATCCTTCATCAAACATCAAAACCACTAAAAGTTGTAGAAACCATTACACTTCCTATAAGTTAGTTGTTCACATTTGAATACTGTATTATCCTATAGGCTATTGAATCATCGCAAACAAGGAACAAAAGCTGATTATTACTATCTAGAGTGAAAGCAACACTATCTATGTAGGACTATAAATGAACCGAATATGAATAAACGAACATATGTTTGTAGTTTGTTTGTTTATTTTTAGAAGTGCTCAGGCTCGATTCGTATTTGGCAAAAAAATTACTCTATTCGTTTGAGTTTGGTTTGATTAAATGATAAAATATCCGCATTCAGTTCGTGTTCGGTTCAATTAAATTAAACAAACTAGTTCGTGCACATTAAACAAACATGTTCATAAACATATATAAACGAACATGTTCATGAACAATAAACAAATCAGAACCAAACAAATTTAAATGAACAAACCTTAAATGAACATAAATAAACTCAAAACAAATATAAACAAATCTTAAAATAGAATTAGGATAAAAGATAAAAATATAATTTTGTTATTATTATTATAAACAAACAATAAACAAGTAATAAACAAACGAGTTCTAAATGAATCTTAAATGAGTTTGTCCATGAACATAAACGAACCAAACAAAACTCTACACATGTTCAGTTCGTTTAAAATACTATTCAAGATTGTTTATTAAAATTAATAAACGAACAAAAACCAAACACGTTTACGTTCATTGAAAGCTCTCTTCGTAGACACCCCTATATCTATGTTAGGAAATAACTTTTGTTACAATCCTAAATTTGAATTAATAGCTTCAACATTATTTCTATTTAGATAACAATCTTATAAAACAAGGAACACTTGTTATCTACATTACTGTTTCAATTTTTTTTACAAAGAACGTCATACCAAATGTTGGGAATTTGATCCCAAATCTACTAAATGCCACTATTAGGTAGTGTTTGGTATAGGTGATTACTCCAAAAAATCTTGATGATTTCCACATAATGATTAAATTTCCGTGTTTGGTAATCATTTGATAATCCTACGTGATAGTGATTTTGGATCATTGAAAGTGATCAAATTATTGTCTTGGAAATTAATCCAATTCTCATCCAAAAAAGTGAAACTTCCATCACTTAGTAAAGTGATATGTAAAATTAATAATAATCAATATTACTTATTTAATATCTAAATTAAAATTTTGATTCATCTTAAAATTATAATTGTTTTATATTTATAAATTTTTATATTTTCAAACTAATATTCATTATAACAAATTCAAAATTAATTTGTGTATTTTTTACTTTTTCTAATGTTCTATATATAATATAATGTTTTTCTTTTTTTATTATAAATTTAATAGATTAGTTTTATTTTCTAGTTCAAACTTTTTTACATAATTATATTATAAAAATTAGTTTACTTGATAAATAAATATATTTAATAATTTAATTATATTTATTATAAAATAAATATAATATTATTATGTTTTATGAATTATTATTTTTAAACAATATTTAAATCACTAACTTGTGTAATAATTACAATAAAAATAGTTATTTTCGTACTATTAAATAAAATAATTTTTAATAATATCAAAAAACAATGATGTTTAATTCGAATGAATTAATAATTGTTATTAATCAAATAAAATGATCGCAAAGCATGAAGATCTTGATAATAAAATCACCTCAATGATTTTTACCATGGTGATTTTAAAATGATACCAAACACTAAAGTATTAGCACAAAACATCTAAACTATACCAGGCTTAGTTTCTACTTTCTTTTTGTCATCTCTATTCTAAATCTTAAAATCATTAAATAATTTTATTAATAAATAAATTTCAAAATTTACTGAAATTTTAGTGAAAGAATTTCACTTTTTACTAAAATATCTAGAAACAAAAAGAAATATTGATCTTTTTTCTTAAAAAATAAAATTATTCAAGATTATTGAAAATATAAATAAATAATATCCGGAATAAAATATAGAAAAAAATTGTTTTATTATTTGCATATTCATTCATCAAAATCAGATTAATAAAACTCTCAAAAAGCAACTTTTATCCATGAAAATATTATATTACACCTAAAAAAAAAGTCGAAACAAAACAGTAAAAACCAATTTTTTTCGATGTTCCCAAAGTCGTAAAATCCAATCTGATCTGGAGCAAGATAACTATTAAAAGGAGAAAACCCCGATAAGCAAAATCAAAGGAAATTCAAAATAACAATAAAAAAAAAAAAGAAAGAGAAACCTTTTTGAAATGATGTAATTTCAAGTAACAAGCAGCTCTATTACTGTGCAAAGCGATCTTTTGAGGCTTCGTTTTGGCTACCGCCAAGGCCTCCGTGTAGTAACCCAGCGCCTCCTCGTACCTCCCTTCTCTGTACATCTGGTGGGCTCTCTCGATCTTGTTAAACGACGTCGTCGCCATATTCATCGTCCCTCCCCTCCCCGCCACCCAGTTCTTCCGATCTGGTTAATCTATTTTTGATTATAGATGGAACAGAAAATAGTTCAAAAAGAATTAAAAAAAATAAGAGAGATAGAGAGACACAGAGTGAGGTGGCGTTTCCAGAAAATGATAATTGTCTTTGTGATTAGTGAAGCTTAAGACAGGGATTTTATTATTCTGTTTTTTTTTTTTTAATAATTGAGATAATTTAAAAATGAGGTGGGTTTTGAAATTTTAGTGGGAAAGAGGTGGTCGATTTGTAGCCACTGGATACTGGACCATGAGGAGACAGGTGCGGTTTAGCGTGATGGGCGAGCCACCCACAACCAAGTCATCAACTAATTACATTTCAACGTTGCTGTGTCTATCGCAGGTCCCGCCTAGACCTATGGGCTGGCCGAGTGGAATTTTTTTTTTTTATTTTATAAATTAATGTTTTAAAATTTTTGAATAAACTTTGAGTTTGCAATATTTTCATACTAGAAAGAGACCCATATTTTGTTGCGAGATTTAATCATCGAGATTAATAAAATTTAAATTAAAAATGATTAAAAATAAATTTTTTAAAAAAATTCATAAAAAATATATAAAGTTTTCACTAATAGTATATAAATAGTTAATTATAATCAACAAAAATAAAAAAATATTAATTTACCAACAATGAAAAAAATCTTAAAGTACATAATTTTAAATAAACATAAATATAATAAGAGAATAAAAGAAATTAAAATGGCACAAAATCTTATTTCTAGTTTATCTTTTTCTCATTATTTAGCAAATTCATCCATAATGTTTTTTCTCAAGCTTTGCTTTGATGTCAAAATTAATCGGCAAGTAAAGAGATTATTCAACAAATAATATTATAAAGCTTAACTACATTTGATCATAACTTATTTAAAATCTTGGATGCCATAACATATTCAAAAACAAAAAATAATGTTGTTGTTTTTATACATAATGAAATTTTAATTATCAAAGTATATATCTCTAAATTAAATTAAAAATAAATGATTCCTTTTAAATCAATAAACTCTTGCCTATATCAAAAGACATCATCGAATTTCAATTAAAAGAATGAATAAATAAAAGTACATTGCAGGAAAGGAATAATTTTAGAAAATTTTGTCTTATAATCATTATTTTATCTAACAAATTAGCAAGCAAATTAGAATTAGTAAAGCACAAAGGGATTGGTATTGAAAAGATCACAAAAAAATTGAGTCAATATTATGTTAAAATATTGTATAAAGTAAATTATGTATTGAATGATTCAACTCTTATACGATAATAATTAAGTAGCATTTTGTATACTCTAAACATCCAATATCATAAAATTTAACAATTAAAAATGGCCAAAAGAATTAAAAACTTTAATTTAGTGACATGCTTTGTAATGGAATATACAATAACAACCTTTGGTAAATATTAACTTTTAAAATGAAAAACGTAGCTAAATACAAATGAAAATGAATTCATGTACTTGGGCTACTCTACCTAAAAGATACAGTGCAAGTGAATGCCTTTGGTTTGAATCATCCAAAGCTAAAATGGACACATAGCCAAATCTGTTTTCATATAAACCAAAACAAACAACTTAATTAAACAAAATTAAAAATCAAATATCAAGAGGAAAAGCAGAAGCCAAATTTCAATTTACAAAGATAAATTTCTCTATGCGTCAATCTTATCATTGCATCGACTTTTATAATCTCAAGCACACGCGACATTTCTTTCAATTCCAAATCACTCTTTATCTAACTGATAAAATACACTAAAAAATCTCATGTTACCTATTCAATTAATTAAAAGGAATAAAAACAATAAAACCCACAAATTCAAAACTAACACTTGAGAGATACGATCTTCATAGAGGCAAACTTTAGAGACTTACTGTTCATATCGAATATTAATATATTTGTTTGACTCTCTATTTGAATCAAAGACTCGCTCATATCATCACTCTATCTCTCTTTTTCTCCCTACCTCTCCATTTAGTTCTTCAGCTCCAATTGCAGCTTCTGTCAATGTTGGTTGGTGATTCTTTCCTTCTTGCATTGCCTTCCCAATTTCTCGTTCGCTTTTTTTTTTTTTTTTTTTTTAACTTTTCATGATCATCCGTCTCTAGAAGCTTCTGGATAACTTCAACGATGATTTATTTCAATAACAATGAAATCATAAAAAAAATGGAGAAGCTTCTTCGTAAGCTTTAGTTTCACCCATGTTTAAACAAAAATTTTAATTTAAAAGCTTAAAAAACCTTATAAGATGGCCAATAAAAAGATGACAAATGGTGTAAAATCAAGAGCCTCAATGAATACTATATGAATAGTAAAAAATTGAGAGGTTACTTTTATATTATAGTTATAGATTTGAGTGATTTTGGATTTAAATTATTATAAATTTGAATTATTTCAAATTTGATTCATTTTGAGTTTAGATTATTTTGGATTTGAATAATTTAAGCTATTCAAAATTTTAACATTTTGGATTCAATTTATTAATTTTTAAAATTAAAACAAATTAATTTAAAAAATTATTTAATTGAATAAATTTTTTTAGAATTTTATAAAAAATAAAAATAAAAAAATATAAATATTAAAATTGTCTGCTTTAAATTAAAATTAATTTTTTTATCTAAATAAATATATTTGATTTTTTATTAAACAAGAATACTTTTACTTAGATTTTGGTAAATATTTTTATTTTTATTTTTTGTTTTTTCCTCTTTTAAGCACAAAATGAATGGAAAAAAAATAAAATTTTAATAAAAACCAAAAAAAAAAAGCAAATAGTAAAAAAAAAGTGTAAGACTGACGGTCAAATGGAATCTTAGGTAGTATTTGATTTTAGAAAATAAAACTATTTTCCATTTTTATTTTTTTGGAAAATAAAAAAAAAGTAAATACATGTTTGGTAATTGAAAATAAAAATAAAATTTTAGAAAATAAAAATAAAAATGAGTTAAATATAAGAACAAAAAAAATATTTTTTATTAAGAAAACAAAGGATGTACATTCTTTTTTTTTATATTTTACAAGTTATCATATTTAAACGCTTTTTAATGTCATTAATTAATAAATATATATTAATTTGGTAATGAATAAAACTATGCAGAATTTATAGAGATACCACATAAGCATGCAGGATTAATTAATAAATATATATTAATTTGGCAATAAAGAAAGCAAGCCTTTCTTATAACAACCATATAGAGATGCCACATAAGCACGAATATTGCTATTCGAATATCCCATTTGTTAAGATCTCCTATCGACACAAACTTCGCTAGTTTCTTGTCTTTTTTTTTTTTTTAAGTTTATTTCCTTGTCTCTTGGTATTATTGCAATGTTGACCAACTGTTGAAATTTTATTTTCATAAAAATTCAATCCCTAACATAAATTATAAATTTGTCATTCGCTCCCATGGCCTTTAATAAAAAATTTTCATAAAAATGTGAAGATAAAACTTTAAAATTGTTAGATATTGAGATTTGAAAATTTTGAGAATTTGAGAAAAGTTTCAAGCCATATAATGTATGTTACTTTTTTTTTAAGATTTTATTCATTCTCATCACTCGATTAATTGAGATGTAAAAAATTATTGACAATAAATTTAAAAAATATAATAAATTTAATGATTAATTACGTTTGATATTGACAAAATTAATTTATTAAGCATTCACTGATATAAAAATATAATTATATGATTTAATTATAAAAAACATGTGAGACTTTTTCCGGATTTTATCTACGATAATTTTATCTTGTATCCTCTAAAAACCAAAAATATTTTATTTATAATTAAATAAAAGTTTTTTTGTGCAGACACAATTATTCATAAAAATACTTATTTATATAGACATAACTTTTTATAAAAAATAACTCTTAATAAATAATTATGATATTTAAATAAATATAATTTTTCACTTTCACATGCAATTTATGTAATTTATTATTTTAAAAATGTTCCAACAATCAATACTTCAGCTGTCATGGTGGCATTATCCCTTGTTTTTTTTTTTTGTTTGTTTTTTTTTTTTTTTTTTTTTTGAGTTTTCTTCTGTGGATAACGTTTCCGTGTTTCATAGACCTTTGAAATTTGCCAAAGCAATAACTGTTTGTTTCATTTTGTTTCATGTTGATGAATTAATTGAAAATATATCTCTTTTTTATGTGAATTTAAAAAATTTTGAATACCTTTTCTTTTGAATTGTACTGCAAAATTAATAGGTTAGAAATTTGATTATCGCTAATTTTAAACTCGTAATTCGTTCTTTCCAGCCTCTCATATAAATTGATTGTTTTGAAAAAATAGGGATTGGGAATAACTTTGATTTATTGGTATAAATGATAGTTATAGGAACAATAAAATTGCTGATGTAGTAATAAATTAAGATTGGGGGTAACTTTAATTTATTGGTATAGATGTTAATATATAACAGGAAGCAAAGTTATTTTCAACCCGAAGTGATACATACTTAAAAGTGATTTAAACTCAAAATAATTAATACTCACAATTATTTAAACATAAAATAACCTAAAACTTTAAAATTTTAAAAAATTTTTTTTTTAGATTTTTCGGTGTTCAATAATAATTTTAAATTTCGATTATTTTAAAATTAAATCGGATTATATTTTATAAGAGAAATAAATTATTTTAATGTCTATTTTTTTCATTTATAATACTCAAAATCGAAATCTTATTTAAAAAAAATTGAATTCATTACCACTCATATCAACAAATATTTTTTCTTACTTGTTTTCACTTTTCCCTTTTGACTTTTGTAAGTGTTAAAACAAGAGATACAAATTCAAAGATTACATTAGTCTAGGAAAAATGAAATAATAAGGCAAAAAAAAAAAACCCTATGCGTTAAAAGACAAAAGGGTAATAAAAACTCATCATTTACATAAATGTATATTAGAAGTGATACATTGGTGTCCGTAAGCCTCCCAGTTGGTCTTTGGAAATATTTGTTAAAAGCTCATTTTGACCGAACCTGAGAGATTCAATACGCTCAAAAAATTTAAAAATATATTAAAATATTTAATATTTTAATATTTTTGGAGATAAATATCTTAACATTTTTAAATATATTTTAAAATTAAAATAAATAAAAATTTTTATTCATTAAGTAATGTTTGATGTCTTTGTTCAGAGTTTGATCAAAATCGTCTAGACTTGTGGGTCAGACAAAAACCCGACATGTATGGAGGCTAATTATCCACGTTAACCTTACTTTAAACCAACACGAATAATCTTTTGATAACTTAACAATTAAAATCCAAACCTAATTCTATACATAACTAAAATGATCCAAGTCTTGAGACGCGTCTTAATCTATTCGATTAATTGATGA